CGCTCGTCCCACGGACGTCCCGTATTCGTCGGCCGTGGGCAGGTCGCAGGTCGCGGTTGTAGGATGGGCGGCTGTAACACGGCGCGGAACACCTATCCGCGTCCACCGGCCGAATACTTTCGTCGGCAGGGCCGCGACGACGGCGACGTGCGTCGTGACGACACTCGTGCACGGCAAATAGGAAGAAAAAAGAGACGAGGTGGGGCGGTGACGCGTGTGGACGGTGAGGAGGGGTCCGCCAAATATAAGCTAAAGAGATTGTACGATGGACCACACGAAATTTCACTACGGACGGGACCAGTTTCGGGAAAAAGGGCCGCACTTCCTTCCTCTCTCTCTCTCTCTCTCTTTCTCTTTCTCTTTCTTATTCGTCGAGATACGAGAAAAAGGGGAAAATCGATTACTTCCGCGAATTACACTCGACTTTCGCTGTCACCTGGAAGACGTTTCGGGAACCATGAAGATACTCGCCGTTGTGTTTTTAACGACAGCTTTAACGCTGGCTGCTGGACAGACGCTGGAGGATTGTCTGCAGAACGACAGTATCTCATGTGTGCAGAAGAGTTTGTACAGAAAGGCGAAGGAGTTCTTCGACAAGGACAGCTACGAGCTGTTCAGTGGTGTTAGTCTCGTGAAGAACGCCGATAACCAGGGAAGAAGCTCCAGGACCGGGAAAGATCTGCTCTACGATCAGGAGATCGACACGGCTAACAATGTCGCGGATAGACAGAGTGCACTGGAGAGTTTCGTCAGCGACGAGGCTGGAGAGTTCCTCACTGGTCGCAGTTTACGGGTAAATAGAACAACATCAAGAAGATTAACTTCGTTGTAAGATATGTTAGCCGAAAGGGGAAGTGTTCATATAATTCTTTCGTTGTAGATCAACTTTGCTCCCGCTTTCGAGAAGATCGGCGACTCGGCTCGTGCCCTGAGTGACTCCGCACCGGAAGAGGTCCGGCAGGCTGTCAACGAAATCGTCGAAGGTCAATTTTTAACTACAATACACATTTTTAAATTTCCTCTTCCTAAAGAGTGTATACATCTCTGCAGACTAAAAATCTTCCTTAAATTTCCTCTTGCCCACTAAGAATCTCTCTAAAATTGACTAAAAATCTGAAACTTCCTCTTGCTAACGAATACACATCTCTGCGGACCAAAGATCTCTGTAAAATTGAAAGAACGTCGATCTCGAGTATTTTTCTCACGGAATCTGTCCCTGCATCTCCAGGCCGAGGCAAGAAGAAGATACTGAAATCGATCCTGCCGCTGTTGATCGCGGCGAAAGTGAAAATCGGCGCCCTGGCAACTCTGGCATACTTCGGCATCGGTTTGCTCGCCAAGAAGGCGATCTTCGCTTCCCTGATCTCGCTCGCCATCTCGGCGTTCATCGGTCTGAAAGCTCTGTGGTCGAAGAACTCTCACGATGTCACACCTTACAACGGCTGGAGCGGCGGTTCATCGAGCGGAGGATGGTCCGCGCCAGTTGCAAACGGAGGATGGTCCTCTGGTTCCTCTTGGGACGATTCTCACGGCTACGCGCAGAGTCAAGCATATTCTGGCTACCATCACTAATTCTAAATTAGTATCATTCCTGTTAACTCTCCTTTTCTTTCTCTTCTTCTTTTCACTTCTGTTTTCTTCCCTCTTCATCCTCTTCCTTTTACTTTCATCCTCGTCTTCGTCGACGACAATTCATGAATTACGGAGGCTTCGATGCTTCGATGATTAACGAACCGTCGAAGACACTTTCTCTCTTCATCTTCTTCACGGTAAGAGGATCTATTTATTGTTTTATTTATCCCCTTCTTTAATAGTTAAGCGACCATCACACCTGGTGGTCCCACGTGTAAATACTATTATTATTGTAAGAGAATACGAATAGAATGGACAGACAAAGGACGTCAGAATCAAACATAGAGGCTAGTCGTTAAAAGGGTTACGTTTTGATATCCTCGAGGCGTACCATTTCTTCACTCCAGTACGATTTAGATGAACTCTGTCGAACTGCTCCTACCTGAGAACCTTTGTAACACAGACGTTTCACCGCCAAATATAATTTTTAGAAAAGTAAATGTATCCTTTTCTTTATCCTCCCTCTTACATCTTACTTTCGTTCGATAGAAAAAAAAAGTGAGAATATGAAAATTGAAGTGAGATCAAAAGTTGGACACTTTGGAAAGCATCGAATGAATCGTTTACTAATTGTGAGACACAACTTGTTCCATTATTTATCGTTGAAAGAGCCGTTAAATCGTAATTTATTCCACGTTAGAAATCGAGAGTCTTTTCACTTCTTCTAAGAAAATTATCAACCTACTCTTTGTTTGTGTATTAGAAGTGTTCTCTGAAATATTCAACGAAAGCTTAATAAAATCATTGTGTAGAAATCGAGAGTACTAAAATTTCAACCCTTTCTCTCTTCCATAGTCTAGATAAAAAAGAGGTTAAGCTGCTGTTTATTTAAATATCAGAAATGAAGAGTTATTTAAATATCAGAAATGAAGTATTCTCTAAAGTGTCCAACAAAATTCGGTAAAATCGTCGAAACTCCATTCCAACAAAATTCGCTAAACTCGTCCAGCTCGATTTGAACGAAACTGAGGAAGGAAGAGACCCGTGAAAATATCTAAAGTGTCTCACACTCGAAAATCCTCCCGGAACCGCGTTGAAAAAGAGAAATCACTCCGACTTTCCAACCTTCCAGGAACCCCCGAAACGGTCTCTTTTTTTCTCTCTCCTCCACTCTTCCCTCTTCTTCGTCCTCTTCTTCACCGGTGTCGTTTCACCGTGGCGAAATTTCACCTGGAAACTGAGTCGCGAAGTCAACCGGGGACAATTCGAGAGATGGAAACAGCAAGATGGTCGGTGCCGGAGCGCTGCTCTTAAGGGGAAAGTGCACCGGCAAGGTGCACATCCGGTCGAGGAATGATTTCGCGGAGGTTCCCCGCGGAGGTCGAGAGGCCGGAGCTCGCGTTCGTCATTCTTAATCGGGTCGAGAGGACGGACATTCTACTAAATCTTCCGCGAGCCGATGTCCTTAAGTCCCAGATAGAGGAGGAAAATGAGCGGCTGGAAAGGAGGTTGACGCAAAATTGCCGTTTCTTCCGTAGCTTGGCCAACTCGTGCCGGGGGCCAGCCAGTAAAAATCCTTTTTGTCGCCGCTTTCTGGGCCAACGTTCGACGTGACGACCCAAACCGAGTTGATTAGCGCTCGCAGATTTCGCTCCGATGCGAGATACTTGAAAATTCTTCGTCGATTCTCCCAGTTTTCGATTCTTTCTTGAAACAAGAGTCTAATTGGTTCTTTTTTTATTTTCGTGTGAATTGAAAGTGGAACGTTTGAAAAATGGCTCCTGCGATGGTGAGGAGGAATTCGTGAATGTAGTGAAATTACAGGCATACTTTGATCTACCTTGAACCTGTTCTTCTTGAAATTGTGTTCTTCAAGGTGTGATTGTAGTTGTAATTTTTTTAAATGTAATTGATCGATCTATTTTAGATAAAGTGTGCTCGATTCGATATACATTTCTTCAGAGATTGAATAGGCAATCGATATTTTATCTTTATTTGTAGTGTTTTTGTGAACGCTGTTTAATGCTTTGAACACACTTTTTAATGACTACACAAATTTTAGGAACATAGTTTTATGACCTCTTTGATAGAAAGACTGACGTCTTCTTTCAATCCTAGCACTAACTATCAAAGGGTAATAATATTGGAAAATTTTGCCTGGAAGTTACTTTGACTGGAAGTAGACTGCACTTCAACCACAAGTACAGTGCTATCTTTAGTTTTAAAATTTACAATAGTAGTATCAAAAATTGCACTGGAAGAAATATTTTTATCATACCCTAAGATTGCCTCTTCTCGCAAAAGCAAAAATTTCTACGATATCTTTACTAGTTTAGCCAGAAAAAATTGCTAAAGATCGCTTATTCGTCTGGTTATCAATGTGCGCTCCCCTTGATATCAAGGAAACTGTGGATTACAAAAAGGAAATTGGGTGTCAATTGAGAGCAATTTTGTGGCTAATAGCGGTTGATAGAACGAAGGTGAAACGCCTCTACCGCCACAGGATCGCGAGGGATGCCTTGGAAAAAAGATTGCGGAATTATTTTGAAAGGAAGAGGAGACTTTCGTTAGTGGCGAAGTCACTCGGGGAGAGACACGGTGCATTAATCGTGACGCGGTGTTCAGGCAACTTGTCGCCGTCTTTTATTTCATTCAGCCTCGTTCTCCCTCTTTCCCCAAACGAACGCGATCCTACCATCTTGGTTGAGACCTTGCTGCAAATTATGAAGTCGACCTGGGAAAGATAATTTCACTGTTTTAAGGAAGAGTGCTTGAGAAACTTAATTTGTCGACTTCGCTCCTTTTTCTGACACATTCAAACTGGATTACTCCTTCGAGGGAGAATTCAAAATGGAAGAATGGATTTATAATTTTAGTGTATTTTGCACCTCGGAGAAATCTACGATTATTAATTAACCAAAGCAATATTTTAGGAATTAACGAAGGTTTTGCATATGGGCATTTGTTATGAAAATTATCACGCCAAAAAGAATATTTCAAAATCACGTGTTTTCGTAATTTACACGACTTGAAATGAAGTATCGGTAATGTTTGAATGGATTAAAAAATAATTAATTCTCACGAAACGATTCCATAAAGAGTCTGATATTTTGAGTGCGTTATAAGGTGTCTAAGTGAGAAATTTCAGATTAAATATTAGAAATCATCTGACATTCGAACGAAAAACCTTTCTCAGTCAAAATCTTCATTCGTCTTCAAGACGACCCGGTAAATCGTCCGATTCTTCCGAACGCGGACGGAAAAATCGGGACGCGTCGTCCATTAAGAAAGAATGGCCTGAGCAGCAACGGTGCTCCTCGTCCGCGTAAACAGAAGCGGAAGAGAACGAAAGATAAAAGAAGTAGAAGAGAATCAGGACGAAAATTGGCGCTGCGCGTCACGGATCTTCCTGATGGCGGATGAATAGGTGGCTTTCTTTCGGATGTCACAAAAGCGGAATTTCACCGCGGTGGTTGCTCGTAACGCGGCTCCGTACTGCCTCTATCTCGTTATTAGAGAGTCGTAAAATCTGGCCGAGGAGCCGAACGGAGGAACAAGCTGGTTTGCTCGTATCTAAATCTCGGTACGGTTCTCACGTCACGATTAGCCCCAGCTCGTTTCTCATGCGTCACTGGGTTACTGGATTCTCTTCTTAGGCCGCCTGTGGATTTCCTACTGCCTTATTAGCCGCATACCAGATGTTCGTGCGTTCACGCGACATTCACGGAGGTCCTATCGCACACGTGATTCCAGTCACGGCGCCTTGTAAAATCTGGCCAAATTGGGAACGAGAATTTCTGTGGTAAATAATTCATCGATCCAGTCTCTTTAACCCTTTCAGCGTGGTACTCGAGAGAGAGGCGGAGAGATGGAAAAATAGAGAGATAGAGAGATGGAGAGATAGATAGAGAGAGAAATAGAGAGATAGAGAAATAGAGAGACAGAGAGATAGAGAGAGAAATAGAGAGATAGAGAAATAGAGAGATAGAGAGATAGAGAGGTAGAGATATAGAGAGATAGAAAAATAGAGAGATAGAGAGATAGAGAGATAGAGAGATAGAGAGATAGAGAGATAGAGAGATAGAGAGATAGAGAGATAGAGAGATAGAGAGATAGAGAGATAGAGAGGTAGAGATATAGAGAGATAGAAAAATAGAGAGATAGAGAGATAGAAAGATAGAGAAATGGTGGGATAGAGAGACAGAAAGATAGAAAGATAGAGAAATAGAAGAATAGAGAGATAGAGAGATAGAGAGATAGAGAGGTAGAGATATAGAGAGATAGAAAAATAGAGAGATAGAGAGATAGAAAGATAGAGAAATGGTGGGATAGAGAGATGGAAAGATAGAGAAATAGAAAGATAGAAAGATAGAGAAATAGAAGAATAGAGAGATAGAGAGATAGAGAGGTAGAGATATAGAGAGATAGAAAAATAGAGAGATAGAAAAATAGAGAGATGGAGAGATAGAAAGATAGAGAAATAGAGAGATAGAGAGATAGAGAGATAGAGAGATAGAGAGGTAGAGATATAGAAAAATAGAGAGATAGAGAGATAGAGAGGTAGAGAAATAGAGAGGTAGAGAGATAGAAAAATAGGGAGATTGAGGAATAGAGAGATAGAGAGATAGAAAAATAGAGAGATAGAAAAATAGAGAGATAGAGAGATAGAGAGGTAGAGAAATGGTGGGATAGAGAGATAGAAACATAGAAAGATAGAGAAATAGAAGAATAGAGAGATAGAGAAATAGAGAGGTAGAGAGATAGAAAAATAGGGAGATTGAGGAATAGAGAGATAGAGAGGTAAAAAGATAGAGAAATGGAGGGATAGAGAGACGGAAAGAGAGAGAGAGAGTTTGTAGTCTGTAAACTTGTACCGTAGCATTAAAAATTTAATACCTACACATTTCTCCTTGTCGTGATTTTATTACACCGTGAAAGGGTTAAGACTGTTCATCTCTGTAAATTGGAAAGTTCCAACGGAGTGAGCTATTGAAAATAATGTATTCGACTGTGATTCAGTAGTCGTAAGACAGTTTTACGGTCCGTATCCTGTCCAGGAGATTTTTCCCTCGAAATAGGTTTACGATGGGTAAATTGAAGAAGAATTACAAGTGAAACAACGTAAATTCGTATTTCCAAAGGTACCATTGTATATCTTGCCGTTTCTATTGCAACAATGTGTACAATTTATACGTCTCTTTTGTGATGCATACAGAAGTTTTTCATTCATCCAGTGGCAGAATTAAAATTCCAGTTTCCCGGGTGATGTCGACGCACGCACAAGCGATGTCGCGTGCGTCCCGCCGATGTCTCGACGCACGCAACACCTTGAACTTCGCCGTGGATTTCGAAACAACAATCGCCAGCC